TTGGAGGGGTTCCCTGGTAGCCCTCCACTACAATTCGAGGAAGCTGCCTTGTGATTCGGAGATGAAGATGACATCCGCGCCGCGGCGCGGCTGTTCACGCGATCCTGCAGGATTTTCTGGTGCACTCCCATCCAATCCGCTTCCGCGGTCATCGGGCTTAGCCATTGCAGAACATGGTAGAGGGAGTCCCCGCCTACTAAGCTGTTTGGCCCCGCGTAGGTCATGAAACACCAGCAAAGCCACTGAAATCCGCGCATGTGGGTCATCCGCGCCGTGATATCATACTCAGGATCAAAAGGGGAGGTCATGTGGAAGTACTGGCCTCGCCGCGCACACTGGAAAGGTTTCCCCACCACCCGCGATCCGCCGTCCAGATCGAAATGAATCCCTGCCGCCTCGTAGTTGAACACGCAGCCGTAATAATGACAGAAGTCGAAGAAAAGCTGCGAAAGTGAGAGTCGGTGGCGGAGAAAGTAGAGCGAAAAGTCCTCCTCGAGATCGCCCCGGTAGGTGTCGGATAGGTTGGAAGGAGACGACGGCCGCAGAGGAGGGGCCCCCCCCGTGCCGATTTTTTCTTCCTTTTCATTTTGTTCAGAGCCCTTGGCGAGCTCACGCGCAGAATCCTTCTTATTTGGCTTGCCGATCAGTTGTGGCGTATTGGAAGGCTCCCCATGTCCTTCGTCGAGCCTTTTGATTTCTCGCCCACTCCCTGTGGCGGCTTGGATAGCCCTTGAGCTCATCTTTTCCTGCGCGCGCTGTACGCTTTCCTCGTCATTGCTAATTCGTGTAGTATCCTCCCCCTCATTGACCTTCTCTGCTGTTGGGGATTCTTGTTCATGCAGGCTGTAAATTCCAGCTTCCTTTTCAGTATTTTCCTTCGCTTCTTCTTCTTCTTCGTGGGAACTACGGCCTGGGAAAAGAGTGGAGGGGGCTTCACTGCGGAGGGTAGAGGAAGCTCGGGGTGTTTCGCTTCCTTTCCTTTCCTGATGGATCGCGGCCGTGGTGGTGGAGCCCGCGCGCAAGTGGGGCGCCTCCACAGGTTTCATATTCACGAAGTGGTACCACCCCGTCAGGGCCGCCTCCTCTTCCCCTCCCTCCCATTCTTTTCCACTGCCACCGTCGTTTGGCAGCTCCTGCTGAAGGTCCTCCACGAGAAACGCCAAAATCGCCCCCCAAACGCCATCCGCGCCCTTGCCCTTTGGCAATTTCACCTGCGATGCGAAAATGTTGGCGGTGGCTTGAAATAGATAGGACTTCAGCATGCCCTCAACTGTGAATAACATCGGCACGGGTATGCTATTATGATCGTTATTATTATTATGATTAGTATTTGTGTTCATCATGACAGAGCTGGAGAAGGGGTCCGTCGCGGACATAAATGTTTTTTCAGATGTCATTGTGAGGGCAGGGGGGACATCCTTGTGAGCACTTTTACGATTGATTTCTCCTTTACGGCTTGTGTTGGCTTCTTTTGCATCGTTTTCATTCTTCCTTTCACCGTCGTCCATCAAATTATCATTTGGATCACCCTCTAACCCGCTAGTTATATTAGAAGCGGCATGGTGAAAGGGTTGCTGCTCGATAAGTCGCTGAAAAATCACCTGTTTTTGCTCCTCAACGATCTGCTTGATTTTTTGCTTACACTCGTTAAAGAAATGGCGAACCATGAGATAAATTGCGAAGGAGGTGACCCCACCGGGCTCGCTATCTCCAATCCCCAAACAACGAACGCAGTGTTTTAGGAAAAGAATCAACGCGCGCGCCTGCGGGTGGGCCTCGAGGAGCTGACGGGTGAGCTGCATTGAGCGCCAGTGCTCTCCACCGGCGACGGTGATGTCGGCCTTCATCCCGGTCGACTTTTCTGTAATTTTGATGACCGGCACCCGCGTGGAGACGATCGTTTGGACGTAAAATAAAGGCCCTTCAATAACCGGGACGTAATTTGTATAAATCGGGCGTTGTTGGGGCTGATCTGGTTGGCGGAATGGAAAGATCGGTAGTGAGAGGTGTGAAAACAAATGCTGCTGAGGCGGCGGCCATACAGCTAATATCGGCTGCTCATGTGGCTGTAATCCATGACCACTATTTTTCTCCACGATGGCCATATTAGGATTGCTATTGCTATTATAAATGCAGTTATTAGTATTATTGAATTCCATCGCCGCATTCGTTGGGATTTCAGGCATTGATGTCACTTTCACCAATTCCTCGTCTTTTCTGTGATGCGCCTTCTCGTCGTTTTCACGATTTCCTTCCACGAACTCGGCATCTGCAATGGCGACAGCGGAGGAACGCGACGTTGTAGTCGTCTCGAGTGGGATCTGAGGAGTGGAGGTATTTGATAAGACCGCTGGATTTGTCGTCGAGTTTGATGGGCTATAATTGAGTGGATCCATTGCCTCTTCTTCTGATATTTTCAAGATAAAGTCCGCGACCGCCATTGTATCCGCGGGCTTCATCCCTTCTGTCGCCGAGATCAGCGCAGAGGCCCACAACGGGCTTAAACTACACGGCGTGCTAAAGGTATAGTCCTTTTCAATCTGCCCGCGAAACTCCTCCTCAGCTTTTTCAAGCTCTTCCTGAGTGGGGTACTGTTCGATATCCCTCACAGCGGTAGTGTTTTTGCGCGGGTGGGATGTTCGCTCGCTTTTGTTTCCCTCCAAATTAGCCTCCGTCGGGGGGTTTCCCCTCGCAAAGTTTATTTCCGCAATGGGTGAGGGGGCCTCGCGATTGACTCCTCCAGTCTCCTCCAGCAGCGGCAGAGGATGGGTGGATAATTCCAACGCCGCCATCAGCGGCCGCCGCGCGCGACCGGTTTGGGCATTTTCTCGCCATCGCGCTCGTTCACGATCTCTCGTGAGTAGGGCCTCCTCGTCGTTATTGTTGTCCGCCCCATTGGTGGCGTTATTTTCCAGAGTGTGCCTTCGCATCACTGGTGCTGTTGGGGATTCCGCGGGGGCCTCGAGAGGGGTTTCGTCTGAATTCGACGTCTGCACATGCTTTTCCCCCCTTTCCTCAAGCTCATGCTGATGTGCCTCGGCGGCGACCAACGCGGCCTCGTCGACCTGCATAAACGCCTGCGAAAGAAGCTGAAGGGCCTCCATCGGCGAGTGTGGGGTATAAGCGGTCACCAACAAATCCAAATCACTGCTCGGCAGGGCCAATCCCGTGGTCAGCGAGCCATGCACGCGGACCTCCACCTCATCCTTCGCCAACCCCTGACGTGCGATGGCTTGGATGTGGCTGAAGAGCCGCTCCCGATCGAACAAATCGCTTGCGGAGAGGGTCAGACAGGCCTCGACGTAGTCCGGCAGGGTGCCGGAGAAGCTGTAACAGGGCGTCACGCCCGGCTGGGGCTGGTAGGGCGGGGCCCCCG